ACTTTACAACATTCACACAAAATGAAATCACCTAATGAGGCATTTCTCAGACTGTATCCCCATTGTTAAACAACACATGACTGCACTATAGTACTATTTAAATAAGAGATATGTGGGACCAGCAGATGGCATAATGGTTACGTAACTAGGTTTGAGATATGTGGACCACAGTTCGAGTCCAGGACCTGGTCCAGGACCTGGTCCAGGACCTGGCAGCTTAAAAAACTCACAATGGGTGTTGTGTGTATGCATGCCCAAAACCCCAAGAGGAGAGTAGAGAAGAGACTGAGGTGTGGTCATCCCCCTGGGGGTGATTTCTTGTTTTCTGCCTGTCTTTCTTTATGCCTCCAGCAAGCACATGCACCTTCCGCGAAAATCTCTCTCAAAAAAATTTTATTTTCAAAATAAATAAGATATGTAAACCATATAAACACGTCTGGAATACTAACCATGAGGAGGAAATCAAAGATAGTACTCATTCACTAATGAAGAAGCAGGAAATATTTTTCACCAATTTCCAGCCAAATATACTAATAGTTACACTGATCATCCAAAGGTAGACCTGGAACAGGAATGACTTTAAATATATAAAATTAAAAAACTGCTAGAGTAACCTAAAAAATAATCTTTTTGAGTTTCTTAAGTTTTTATTCAAGTACAGTACCTATTTAGCTAGGAAAAAAAAAAAAAGAATGACAAGATGGTTTTAATTTACACAAATAAATTTGAGTAAAAACATGTGTAAAGTTTTAAATAGTTCCACATATGTGCACACCCACTTTATTTGGCTTGTCTTTTGCCCTTATTTATTTCTACACATATATATGCATGATTATGGTTTAATTATAAGATTCACTATCTCAATGTGAAAAGGGCACTAAAGTTTAATGCCAATTCCTGTGCAATTTATATCTGTTTACCTTCAAGCTTGCTCCACATTCAAAGTTAAAAAACAAAATGTGGCGGTTGAGGTGCAAGATCCCACATAGCCAACTCTGCCATTAAGAGTCCAGGACCTGGTGGTCTGATAGTCACACCTGGTGAGTGCATGCCCAAAATTCCAAGAAGGGAATGGAAAAGGAACAATGGTGTGTCCATCCCCCTGGGGGATGATTTCTCCCTTTCCATCTTTTTCTCTGTCTCTCTCCCTCCAGCAAGTACAAATACACTATGGCAAAAATCTTTTAAAAAAAGAGAGGGAAAAAAGAAGATACGTTGCAATGGGTGAGAAGCAAGCTCTATAATGCACATTCTTCACTATACAAATTAGGAATTCAACAATTCTAACAACCTGTTAACTTTTGTTAAAACTCTTACAGCTTGGGGACAGCAGATGGTGTAATGGTTACATCACTGGACTCTCACATGGCTGACTGTGGTTTGAGTCCTGGACCCAGAGGCCTAACACTCATATGTGGGCATACATGCCCAATATACTGAGAGGAGAATGGAAAAGGGATTGTGGCATGGCCATCCCCCCAGAGTAGGGGGTGATTTCTTGCTCTCTGTCTCTCTCTGGTGAGCACATGCACTCTATAGCAAAAATCTCTTTAAAAACTCTTTTAGCAAAAGTTTATTAGGGTCCTCTATATACTCAAGTCCAGTTGGGCTTACATGCCAAGCTCAATTTTCAGAAATAGTCAAAAGAATATTGACTCCAGATACCTAGATGCCTTTACTTTTTTTTTTTTTTTTTTAAAAATTATTTTATTGGGACCAGCAGATGGCGTAATGATCACATCACTGGACTCCCATGTAGTCAACTGTAATTTGAGTCCCAGACTTGATGGCTTAAAAGTCACACCAGGCACATGCACGTGAGTGCCCAAAATCCTGAGAGGAGAATAAAGAAGGGATTGAGATGTGGCCATCCTTCCTGGGGGATGATATCTCACTTTCTGTCTCCGTCTCTCTGGCAAACACACATACCCTACAGCAAAAATCCCTCAAAAAAAAAAGATTTATTATTGTCATTATTTTTTTATGGGGGGGGGG